CTTTTGCTACCAACACTCGCTTCACATGACTGGCTGCATTATGTGACTGCAGCATAAAACATTATTGTGCACTAGAGATGATGGGTGCTTCATGCTACCAAGCAGTGGTTTGCATGACTAATTGCTCCGTTCCAACTCAATGCAACAGCGGAGCTGAAAAGAACAGTGTATGAATGTGGGCAACCTACAAGTGTTTGCCTCTCTATCAGCTGTTCCGCCCACTTGTTGCGTTCGGACTGATTTTGACCGTTCTTCGTGCCTTAGCTTTGGAGATCGAGAGGATAGCCCTAAAGCCATTGTGCAGGGTCTATATTGACATCCAAGTCCCCACTCTGTGGTTGGTGCTGGCATGCCTGATTTTAGTATCCGTTCCGGTTTCAGAGATTTTTCCCGCAACTCATGTATCCTCATAGGGAGGATCAGGCTCTTGTATTATTACACCATTCAGCTTCTATGGGTTGATTGGATTTGCGTCACCTAACCTTGTGCTTGGAGTAAGCAATTTCAAGATGCTGACGCAGAAGTTCATCCTGCCTCTATCTGAACCCGAGATTGGTTTGTGTCCACTAGGATGCGTACTTCTGCATCCAGATCATCAAGAGACACAGGAAGTTCCTCAGGTTTGCTATTGGAATAAAGCTTGCCAATACTGTATTCTTTCATTACCTAGACGATTGGCTGATATTAGCTCAGTCACACAAACCGTTTGGAGCAGCGTTTTCTGGCACCCCAACGGTTCTTACCCAATTGAGTGGTTGTCACATTAGGTCAAGGACTGATAACACGGCTGTGGTCCCATACATGGATTGTCAGAGAGGATTACGCTCTCGCCCCCCTGTGCAAATTGGTGAGATGTTCTTCTTTGGACGCAGACCAGGTTCCTGTCGATCAGAGCAGTTCATGTCCTGGGTCACCTGAACTCAGGAGTGGACTTACTCTTGAGACTGAGTTGGAGGCTAGAGAATGGAGATTGCACCCTCAGGTGGTGAGTCTCATATGGCAGAGCGGAAGTGTATTTGTTTGCTAAAAAGAAAAAAAATAGAGCATGCGCATTGCCCGCTCTGGTTTCCTTGTCTCCTCTGGGTGGGGATGCTCTAGCCCAAGAATGGCCAGGAACAGTCTTATGCCTTCCAGTCGACCCGTTTGCTTCCAAACGATTCTGTTCAGTGTAAGGTTGGTCAGAGTGAACATCTGTTGTTGGTGGTGCCGTTTTGGTCCTCTCATACGTGGTTCTCAGAATTGGTCAGTCTTGTTAGCTGGCCCTCTTGGGAGGTTCCCCTCGGACACGACCTGCTGACTCGGGTTCAGGGCATGATTTGGACATCCCCATCAGGATTTTTGGAACTAATGGGTGTGACCCCTGAGCAGAGTTGAAATGTGTTCCGGTCTCTTGACCGAGATTACCGCCACTATTCTTAATTCTAGAGTTCCCTCCACGAGATGCTGTATGCCCTTAAGTGGACCAAATCTGAGGACTGAGGATCTGCAGGCTCTGTCAGCTCCTCTTGTATGGACATTGCCCCGAGGCTGGTTAAGTCTTACTGCTTCCTAGGCCTAGTTAATCCTAGGGCTGCTTTGACTTCATTTTGCTTTCAGCAAGTGGCGGGAGGCTTTCTCCCCTGCTATGTGGGGTCAGATAGTGACTATACCTCTAGCCTATGAGGTGCGTGGTTTGACTTCGCCTCTGGAGGTGCGTGCTCACTCTACGAGAGCAATGGCTTCTTCTCAGGTTCTTTTTAAAGGGCCTTTGATGGGAGATGTCTGTGCTGTGGCAGGTTAGTCCTCTCCTAGCACCTTCATCAAGTTCTATAGTCTAGACGTGAGGATGGCTCCTGGCTCCCGGGTCTTATCCGCTTGAGCAGACACTTTCCTTGGTCTTCCAGCTATCTAAGGTACGTCAGGCGTTATGGTATAGCGTTCCCAAAGCGATGACGTCATCGCAGCATCGAAGTGAGCCTATGAGAGGGAACATCTTGGTTACGTATGTAACCTTGGTTCCCTGAATAGGGGAACGAGATGCTGCGATGCTGGGTCGTTCCGTACCTTGCAAGCGCTTCCTTCGTCATAGTGTAAAATCTGATGAAATAGCGCGCAGCATGCATATATGAGCATACGTGACGTATGCTTGGGACGGTGCCAAGCGCTATTGGCCAATAAATTGGCGTGATGGTATAAGGGCTTCAGACATTCGTCACACTGGAGGTGTTCCCAAAGCAATGACGTCATCGCAGCATCTCGTTCCCCTATTCAGGGAACCAAGGTTACATACGTAACCGAGATGTTATAGTACATTGAAGAATGATCATATGAATTTTTACATATACCATGTGACCTGTAAATGCGAAAAAGCCGTTTCCATTGCAGTTTTGCAAATTATTCCTTTTTTCGCATTGCCTGAAAAAACACCTCATGCGAGTGTGAAAACTTTTTTGCGATATATGGGCGTTTTTGCGAAATTGACGCGTTTCCATTTGGCATATTTTCAATTCGCAATTTCAATTTGCACAATTTGAAGGGTAATGGGAACACGCTAATCACAGAGGTGTTTGAGTAAATGTAATTAGTTACTGTACTTGAGTATCTTTTTGGATATTCTGTAGTTTTGCTGAGTATCAACGATATTAGCTGCATTTACTCTCTACTTCACAACATTTTAGAATAAGTAGCACCCTGGATGAATTTATTCATTTTTGCTTTCATGTTTGACTTGTTTTTGGTCGTTTGCCATACGCACCTATCGATCACCTGCAGGTGTGCGAGGGCAACTGTTGATTGATTCCAATTCATTCATTTGCAAGAACACTAGACTCCTTTTTTTCTTTAATGTGTTTCATGTTTATTATAGACACATTTTACATGAATACTTTGATCAAGTGAAACAAACAAACAAAATATGGCAAATTATTTGTAAATTATGCTCATTGTGTCATGATTATGCAAGAACAATCAGGAATGCAGTGAATTAATACAGGAATAATCATTTTCAGAAATGTAGTTAGACAGCAATCTGAAGTAAGAGGAAAATTGCATCTTCAGTTTATATCAGAAAATGAGAGTACAGTATTAATTTGGAATACTTCAGATTCAGGTTTAGCTTTTGTTTGTATACCCATAAATAAAAAAGTAAATCACACCCAAAATGTATTTTCTAACAGTAATCCATAAAAGCTATCCATAAACAAACATGCAATTTTTTATTATTTGTGTAAAATCTGAGTACAAAGGTTTTCACAAACAAATCATGATTAATCACTAACTTTAGTAGTGAATATTTGTTTTCTAAATTAAAAAATAAATAAAAATAAAAAATACACATGTGTAAAAAAAGCCTTATAAACATTAAGATATTTAGAGAGCATATATGTTTACTGAAAGGCTGATGAAATTGATGAAAGGCTGTGATATCGAGAGGGTTTGAGTGTGTTTTATTCAAAATTCATTAACATTAAAACATTAAGAACAAATTTATGTACCCACATACTGTAAATCTTTTTTTTTAGTTCTCCTTTGTATGAATAGGAATGATCTATGTAATCACTAATGAATGAGACCCATTGTCTTATGTATAATAGATACATAGCAAAGTCCCTTTAAGGCAAGTCATTTCACTCAGTGGCCATCTTTGAAACACCTCTTTGCACTCTCAGCTGCGGTGATGCAATAACTTCAACAATTAGTGATTTAGAAGACAGGACTATTCCACCAGAGTGCACCAAGTATATCTAAAGTCTTTAATATATATTAGCTGATATTTGCAAAATAGAATGATTGCAAACGTCTGACCTCATACATCGCACGTCTTCTGTTGTTTGACTGTGTACAACATAGACATTTAATTCATTTTCAGCAAAACGATTTTTCTTCACTAAAGCTCACAGACAAATCAGTAGGATGTTGTGTGTGCCTCTGACTTGTATCATATGTATATGCTTGAACTCTCTAAATCTCTTTCAGCCCTGGCCACTTCTATATATTCTGTTAGTTCCACTCTTGTTTCTTTAATTTCCTTTAAGACATTGCAAAGATCTGTATGTGTTTTCCTCATCTGAGCAATGGACTTGAGTAAACTTGACTTGACCTTGTCTGGATCATCTACTGGTCCCTGTCTCATCTGGTGAATGTCTACAGAATCCATCACTATGAATGCGGTGTCAACAATGACTAGGATTCCACTCAACACTCCTGTGACTGCGACTATTGCCTCTGCTGCAGCACGTCCTACTCTGGCAGTCTGAGCAGCAATTCTGCCAACATTTGCAAGCAGACCTAGATGCATGAGTTCTGTGGCACACACTAGTCTTGTTCTGTCTACATTGCTTGACATTTGCACGTTGTCAGAGGAGTCACTGACAAAATCCCTGAACTTTTGGATTACTCTCAGTACCCTTCTCAGTGCATTCAGTGACTCGAGAAGTGGTGTCACATCTGTAAAGTTCTGATGAATTCTTTGAATATTCTCACGTAGTGCTCTTTGTTTGACTGTATTGGTAACACTGGACGCAGCACCTGTTACACCACCTGCAACACCAACTCCAATCCCAACACCTGTAACAATCAGAGATGCTCCAAAAGTGAAAGGAGCTAAAATCGCACCAACCACTGCAGTGATTCCTCCTGCTGCTCCAATCACTGAACCTGCCAGAGTGCCTGCTGTGCATTTACGATGAACCTCCTCTAGTGAATCTGTTGTTTTTCCCCACTCTGTAACTAAGGCCTTAAATCTATCATAGTGCTCATTGTAGTTCTCATCAAAGATCCTTAAGGACATCATGAACCTTCGTTCCAGTGCTTCTGGAAATCTCCTGTTTCTGTTTACAGCATCTCTTAGGAATGGTTTTGCTAAAATCTCATCAGCTGAAGGTCTATGTCTAGGGTCACAGCTGAGCATTTCTTGGATTAATTTTCGTAGTTCTTCTGAGTATATCTCTGAGATTTGGGGGGTGTTTCCTCTCATACTGTTGATATGTTGAAAACGACGCTCTATGTCATCTGACTGTGGGATAAAAAAATATAAAAAATCTGGATAAATCCTACTGAGCAAGCTTTATTTAACACTGTAAATAAGGTTTAATTTGTTAATGATTTTATGGCAGGGGTTCTTAACTCTGGCCCTCAAGGTCCACTTTCCTGCAGAGTTTAGCTCCAACCCTAATCAAACACACCTGAACAAGCTAATCAAGGTCTTCAGGATCACTAGAAAGATACTGGCAGGTGAGTGGACCTCGAAGGCCAGAGTTGAAAACCACCGAGTTAAGGCATTAGGTATCTCAAACTAACAAGTAACTACTTTTTTTCAACTTTTATAAATCTAGGTTAATGCAAGTTTATAAATTTACTAACCAGTTGTTCCTTTTGTTAAATCATGTTTTTAATACTACAGTAGCATACATTATGTTCATTTATACAATTTGAAATGTTAATGGGAAAACAGCTAACATGGAAAAGAATAATTGTTGAAAAAAGTCGTTATTTTTGTTTTCTTTGTGCACAAAAAATATTCTCGTAGCTTCATAAAATAACGGTTGAACCACTGTTGTCACGTGGGCTATTTTAACGATGTCCTTACTACATTTCTGGGCCTTGAATGTGGTAGTTGCGTTGCTGTCTATTCAGGGTCAGAGAGCTCTCGGATTTCATCCAAAATATCTTAATATCACCGCTGCAAAAACACGCTGTAAAAAGGAACATTTCACGTTCTCCGGAGCAGAGTCCCAAAAATGCAATTGAGTGAATAATATTATATTACATTATCATCTGAGGGTGTTTTAGCTTTTGTTTCAGGGTGCTTATATTTATATTTGACTATGATGCGTTTTACCCATATTTTTTAATCATGTATTTACCCACACAGCTCTTACCAGCTAGCTTCCGTTACACCATCGGTAATATTTTTGTATTTTACATGGGCTTGATTTAATACAGTGCTTTTTTGGAGAAGGAAAAACAGAAATACTCACCCACACATCCAGCATGCAGAGATCATGGAGCAACCATCCCAGTGACCAGATGTCACTATAAATATACGGATAACAATGAAATAAATAAATAAATAAATAAAATAGCTGTACTTAAATGATAAAGTAAATTGCATTGTTTTACACAACTAAAATAATCAACCTACATATAAAGTCTTTCATCAAGGAAATTCTAACTTGTCAAACACGTTGTAACAACTTTAACAAGTAAATCAATCAGAATTCCACAATCAACATACAAAAAGCAAACCTTTTGGACGTATATTTCCTTTTCAAAACTTCTGGACTGACATACAGCTCTGCACCCACTACTGATTCTGCATACGCATCAGCTCTGAAAAAGAACAATTAATGTAAACCTAAACTGAAAAAACATCAAAAAGATTAGGGATGTACCAAACACTGGCCAAAAGAGGAAAACATAATAAATAAATAACAGAAACCTTACTTTAAAATTCAATAACAGAAACACTGACATGGTGAAAAGCAGCATTCATAATTAGTAAAAAATGTATAAAAGAAGAGTCTGATTTTATCACTCATGCCACCCACCGTTAGAACCAGCTTCCAGAAGAGATCAGATGTGCTAATGTAGTGGTTATAAAAATCAATATCAGAATCAGAATGAGCTTTATTGCCAGGTATGTTTACACATACAAGGAATTTGTTTTCGTGACAGAAGCTTCCACAGTGTAACAGAATGACAACGACAGTACAAAAAACACAGATAATGAAAAATAAAAATAAATAAAAAATAGAACAAGTAAAATAAGGAATAAAAAAATATACAAATCAACAGTTGTATGTACAGGTATATTATGTGCAAATTGAAATGTAGACTGATTATGTGTGTTAGATAAATAAGTGTATGTGTGAATAAATAGTGTGTGTTCCACGGTTATACAACCTCTGCTGGGCCTTTTTAACAATGGAGTCTATGTGAGTGTCCCACTTCAGATCCTGAGAGATTGTGGTGCCGAGGAACCTGAATGACTCCACTGCAGTCACAGTGCTGTCCCTGCACAAAGCAGGGGGGTTTCTCCTGAAGTCCACAGTCATATCCACAGTTTTGAGCGTGTTGAGCTCCAGGTTGTTGAGACTGCACCAGACAGCCAGCTGCTCGACCTCCTGTCTGTAAGCAGACTCGTCACCGTCCTGAATGAGGCCGATGAGTGTGGTGTCGTCTGCAAACTTCAGGAGCTTGACAGAGGGGTCTTTAGAGGTGCAGTCGTTGGTGTACATGGAGAAGAGCAGTGTGGAGAGAACACACCCCTGAGGAGCTCTAGTGCTGGTTATACGGGTGCTAGACGTGTATTTTCCCAGCCTCACTAGCTGCTGCCTGTCTGTCAGGAAGCTGTTGATCCACTGACAGACGGAGGTGGGCACGGAGAGCTGAGTTAGTTTGGGCAGGAGGAGGTTTGGGATGATAGTGTTAAAGGCCGAGCTGAAGTCCACGAACAGGATCCTCACATAAGTCCCTGGTCTGTCTAGATGTTGCAGAACATAATGCAGTCCCATGTTTACTGCATCGTCCACAGACCTGTTTGCTCTGTGGGCAAACGGAAGGGGATGCAGCAAGGGTCCAGTGATGTCCTTCAGTTGGGCTGCATCAGTTTTTCAAAAGACTTCATGACCACAGACGTTACAGCCACAGGCCTGTAGTCATTAAGTCATGTAATTTTGGATTTCTTTGGGATGGGGATGATGGTGGAGCATTTGAAGCATGAAGGGACTTCGCACACCTCCAGTGATCTGTTGAAGATCTGTGTGAAGATGGGAGCCAGCTGGTCAGCACAGGATTTCAGACAGGCTGGTGTAACACAATCTGAGCCTGGTGCTTTTTTCCTTTTCTGCTTCCCGGGAGACTTGGTGCACCTCATCTTCGCTGATCTGAATTGCAGGTGTGGGGGGGAGGGGGGTTACTGGAGGTGTGAATGGTTGTGTGGAGAGGTGTTCAGGGCGGGTGTGGGGTGTTTTTTCAAACCTGCAGTAGAACTCGTTTAGATCGTCTGCCAGTTGTTGATTCTCCGCAGTGCTGGGGGATGGTGTCTTGTAATTGGTGATTTCTTTTAGACTTTTCCACACTGATGCGGAGTCACTGGAAGAGAAATGAATCCTTATTTTTTCAGAATAATTTCTCTTTGCCGCTCTGATCTCCTTTTCCAGTGTGTATTTAGCCTGTTTATACAAGACATTGTCCCCCTTCCTGTGAGCATTTTCTTTGGCCTGACGGAGCTGTCTGAGTTTTGCAGTGAACCATGGTTTGTCATTGTTGTAGGTTAAATGAGTCCTGGTAGGAATGCACATGTCTTCACAGAAACTGATATAAGATGTTACAGTCTCTGTGAGCTCGTCCAGATCGGTGGCAGCAGCTTCAAAGATGCTCCAATCAGTGAAGTCAAAACAAGCTTTTAAATCCTGCTCTGCTTCATTAGTCCATCTTTTTAGAGTCCTTAATACAGGTTTAGCTGATTTCAGTTTCTGCCTGTAGGTCGGTATAAGATGAATACAGTGGTCAGAGAGCCCCAAAGCCCCTCGTGGAACAGAGTGATATGCTTTCTTTATTGTGGTGTAACAGTGATGCAATATATTACTGTCTCTGGTGGGACATGTGATGTGCTGTCTGTATTTTGGCAGTTCACGGGAGAGATTTGCTTTATTAAAGTCCCCGAGAATGATTAAAACAGAGTCCGGGTGTTGTTGTTCTATGTCTGTGATCAGATCTGCAAGTTTCTGTAAAGCGGAGCTCCCGTGCACTTGCGGTGGAATGTACACACTTACGAGAATGAACGAGCAAAACTCCCACGGCGAGTAGAAAGGCTTACAGTTAATGAAGAACACTTCTAGATCTGAACAGCACATTTTCTTTAACACGGTTACATCTGTACACCACCTCTCATTGATGTAAAAGCATGTCCCGCCGCCACGCGATTTTCCCGTTGATTCTGTGACGCGATCTGCTCTAAACAGCTGAAAGCACGGGAGACTCAATGCGCTGTCCGGAATGGCGTCTTTCAGCCAGGTATCCGTGAAACACAGAGCAGCAGAGTTTGAAAAATCCTTATTTGTCCGGGAGAGCAGAAGGAGATCTTCCGTTTTGTTGGGTAGAGAGCGGAGGTTCACCAGATGGATGCTAGGCAACGGCGTCCTGAATCTGCGCTGCCTTAGCTTCACGAGCGCGCTGCTCGCTTCCCTCGTCTGCGCGTCCTGAAGCATCTGATCAGCGCCGCTGCTCCCCCGACTACAATGTCCAGCAAAACATCAGAATAATCGAAAACCGGTGAAATATCGGGTGGTGTGTACTTCCGAATGTCCAGCAATTTGTCTCTGGGGAAAGTGATTGCAGGGATATAACTAAAGACAGGACAAACTAACAAAAACATAAAAACAACTGCGGAGCACGCCACGGAGGCAGCCATCAGCATTGGCGCCATCTGTTTTTATATAATTATAATAAGAACATATGTAGTCATTATGAGTTTGTATCTGCCTGAATGAAGTAGAATGACTGACTTTGGTATGGACTGAGATGTATTATCTATGCTAATCATTGTGTCTGTCCAACATGCTAACAATAGAGAAAGCATGTGTAAAATCCCATTTATTGGACTGAATGTTTACGAATGTTGGTTCAGTACTGATACATATCTAAGAATCCAATGCTGTATTATGGAGATGCCAGGAGGTGAAAGGGGTGGAGGTGGGTGCAGATGTCTGTGCAAAAGACTGAAGAACATGCGTTGAATGGTCTTAAATAGGGTTGCTGTTTAGAGTAGGTGGAGAAATTGATCAGCTGAGTGATACCTGATGTGGTAAGCTTATATACTATACTGTATGTTTAAAATAGTATGCATGCAATCTGGGCAGTGGGCAAGTGGTCTTCCTGAACTACGCTTGAATTCTCCTCTCTCTCTTTATTTTGTAATTGCTGTATTCTCTGCATATGTGTATAGCTAAGAAATAATTGGTTATTGTCAGGCTGGGGGATCCATGCCTTAAGAATGTATCTTAAACTGTCCAGTATGGCAACTGAGCCCCTTAAATCGTAAGCTTTCAAGAATTGCCAATAAGTGTTCCAATATAAATACTTCCCTTTACTGTAGTTGAAATCTATAGTAGTATGCCCATTGCCCAGATTGCATGCAAACTATTTTAAACATATAGTATACTACCTAATTTATTGGAGCTTATTTTATGGTAGTAATCAGATCATAACTTTAATATATTATGAAATACTATAATTAAAATGTGTTTAGTTATCACAGACAAAGGGAAGTATGACTGAAATAAATATCTATGTATGTATGTACAGTGTATGTTTTTTCTATATATGTATGAGTCTATGTAAGTAATTAAGTATTTATTTACTTACCTTTCCAATGCTTTTGAGCATCCAAAATCTCCAAGATTGATGTAACCATCCTCAGTCAGAAAAACATTCTACAATGACAACAGAAATAATAATTAGGTGAAAACTAATTATTATTTTATATTATTTGGCTTGGTGACAAATTATTTCTTGAGGTTTTGTCAGTGTTTACCTGTGGTTTTATATCTCTGTGAAGAATATTCCTCTCATGAATATACTGCAGAGCCAGACAAATCTGAACAAACCAGTCAATAATCTACACAGATGATAAACATGGAGAAAGCAGTGAGTTCATTAGTACAGTATTTAGTTAAACATTGCAGACCTACCTGTATGTATTTTCTTTTTTCAGCCATCACTTTATATCCTAAAAGGCTGCATCTTTACTCTTACAAGGTTGTTTCGAGCCTTTCATCAGTACTAGGGTACAGGCTGGCCATTAAAAAGGTACCAATATTCTGTAGGGTGGTCTGGACTACCTCAGTACTTTCCATTTTATTACTATTGTGGAACATTAATGTAACCTATGGGCTACATGTTACTTTTTTATAATGTTTTTTGATGTGAGAGCATCATCTGGGCCTCTGTAAGAATATATTCAAAGGGATCATGAACTGAGAAATCAAAATCCCCTTGAATGTTTGACATATGGAGTCACTGTTCTATAAAAACATCCTGTAATTTTCAGAACTCAAAACCTTCTTGTTAGTCTAAAAACAGCTGGACCAGAGTTTCTGTCTTTCTCAAATTCAATATTGGATTTTTCTAACAGCATATTTACTCACTTTAGACAGAGTTACTATTAGCTATTTATCAAAGGAACAATGTATACATTAATATTTCAAACTTGTACATAAATATTTATCTTCATTAAAATGAATGAATGCACATTTGACCAGAGTATGTTATGTTCATATAAGACACTCACCTGCTGTTCTTCAAAAAACCCTCTCTCTTTCTGTGTTTTCATCCTCTGGTAAAGATTTCCTTGAGCACAATACTCCATCACAATATAAAAGAGTCCTGCTTCTTTATCTAAATAAAGAAATATCCAGTCAGTATTATAACTTATATTTATTTATTAGTGTAATGGCTTTATTTCACAGCCAAAAAACTACAGATGTTTTTGTTTTGTTCATGTTATTATCTTTCTCTACACAGTATAGTACAGTCTTCATTGTAATTTTTTATCTTTAATTAAAATAAAACGATAAAGGAACATTACCATTCATTTTTCCTACAATTTACACACCTTCAAATAAATCCGCATAAGTAACAATATATCCATGCTCCAGACTTTTCAAGATCTCGACTTCCTTCTTCTGTGGGGCAAAATTTTCATTTGTATTTTTTATTTTTCATGAAGCACGTAAAATTGACACTCATAGCAATTGCAAAACTGCATCTTTAATAGCATTTTAACAGCAACAAAATATGACAATAATATGGTACTAAATATTTGATTTAGTATATGCTTTATTGTACTTACATTTATGGAATTAATCTTTTTGATTACATAAGGAATTCCATCTTTGTCATTCACCAGAAACACTATTCCCGAATCCCTTTGTCCAAGTTCTTCCTTTATGGTGTATCCATGATCTTCTAACAATTCTACAATCAAGATTCACACATGTTAGAAGACACAGAATTGTCATGAATTGGGAATGCCAGAGGAAGAAGTTATCCAAACATATTTGCACAGTTGTCACTGGTTTGCCCAGTATGGGGGTTTAAAGCATTTTGAAGTGACTTTTTATAACAGTTCCCTGGTTAGACAACTTAGAAATGCAATTTGACCAAAAACGTATACCACAATATGAGCAATTTTGAAACACAGTAATGAATACACATGTTGTCACGGAAACACTTGCCTCACCAGCCAAATCAGCCTCCTACACCCGCTCACAATCACCTGATTACTAATCACGGACACCTGCACCCACTTACCACACCAGTCAAATACACATTCACCTCAGTCACTCGTCGGCTAGTCTCAAGGTTACAAGCATCTATGCACGGGTTCCTTGCCTCCCTATCCGCCTGTCAAGCCTCGGATTCCTCAGTTCTCGGCCGAAGGACCAAAGTGCCAACCCCAGATAAGACTGTGTTCTCTGCTTCCATTAATTCCTAAGTTTGATTTTTTTCTGTTGGAAGCTGCTCCTCAGTTCCTTTTAATAAACTCCCCGACTTACGTTAACCTGTCTGTTTGCCTCTTTGTCCCGGATGTGACAGAAGACCAGCCCCTTATTAAACGGATTACAACATGGACTCATGGATTCTCAGAGCACATCCTCACCGGAACCCTTACCCATCCGGACTGTCACCGCCTCCCCACCCGCCTGTCCCATGGCCCGGCCAGCAAGCTTTTCGGGTGAGGCAGCCTTCTGCAGCGGGTTTTTGTTGCAATGTTCCCTCTACCTGGAGATGCAACCACACCTGTTTGTGACCGAGCGGGTCAAGGTGTCGTTCATTATCTCGTTGCTGTCTGGAAGAGCCTTGCAGTGGGCCGAAGCCTTGTGGAATTCACAGAGCCCGTGGATTCACTTGCTGGACGGCTTTGTGAAACACTTCCGGGAGGTATTCGGCCAATCGACCACGGAGGTCACAGTGCATGAGGAGCTCTTTCAACTGCGGCAAGCGGAGTTATCCATCCATGGGTATGTGCTTCGGTTCCGCAGTCTTGCCACCAGCAGCGGCTGGAAAGAGGCCACCCTGCTCTCGGCTTTTCGCCAAGGCCTCAACCCAGGCTTATGCCAACAGATGGCCATCTACGATGACACCGTGGGGCTCGACAGCTTCCTCCAAAAAGCGGTTCGCATCTCCCAGCACCTAACCGCGTGCCATAGAGAATCGATACCCACTGCCGCTGCCTCACCCAGCCTCTCCGCTCCAGCACCAAAGCCCATGATCACGGATAGCTACCACCTATCGTCCACGGAACGATCTCGGAGACTCACCCGTGGCCTATGTCTCTACTGTGGATCCAATGAGCACCAGCTACGCATCTGTCCCATTCGTCCACCACGCCCAGCGGTGAGTACTATCCAGATCACTCCTGATGTGTCTTGCATGCCTCATATGAATGCTCTTCTAATTTTTCACACCCAATCCTTTCCAGTCAAAATCCTTGTGGACTCCAGAATGTCGGGGAATTTCATCTCCTCCCATACTCTCGCCGTGTTACAAATTCCCTACTGCAAAAATGCCACGACCTACCAGATCACCACTGTCCATCGAAAGCCGCTGGGCAAGGGGCTGGTGCGGCACCGCACGCCCGAGGTCATTCTACGGATTGGATGTTTCCACACTGAACGGATCTCTCTACTGGTGCTGGAGGAGTCCGCCATGGACATCGTCCTGGGACGCCCCTGGCTCGCCAAACATCAACCCACCATCACCTGGAAGTCCTGGTGCCTGGGGCCCAATTACCCAAAGGACACGTCTATCCACTGTCGATCCCGGAGAGAGCCGCTATGGAGGAGTACGTTCTGGAAGCCTTGCAACAGGGGTTCATCCATCCGTCCACCTCACACGCAGCATCAAGCTTCTTCTTCGTGGCCAAGAAAGATGGGGGTCTGAGGCCTTGCATTGATTACTGGGTCCTCAATGACCAGACGGTGAAGTTCGCCTATCCCCTTCCTCTGGTCCCTGCCACCTTGGAATAGCTCCGCGGGGCCCGCGTCTTCAGCAAGCTGGACCTAAGGAGCACCTATAATCTCATCCGCATTTGCAGGGGTGACGAATGGAAAACTGCCTTTGTGATGCCCACCGGGCACTATGAGTACCGGGTCATGCCCTATGGTCTTTCCAACTCACCCTCCATATTCCCAAACTTTATGAATGAGATCTTCAGAGACATGCTCAACCGGTTCGTCCTCATCTACATAGACGATATCTTCATTTACTCACCCAATCTCGCAGCACACCATAGCCATGGACCAGAGGAAGTTGGATGCCGTTCGGAACTGGCCCCAACCGACTACCATCAAGGAGATGCAGAGATTCTTGGGATTCGCAAATTTCTATCGCCGCTTTATTGCCCACTTCAGCCAGTTGACGGCACCACTTACCTCTCTCCTCCGACGGAAGGCCAAACTCCTCACCTGGACCCCGGAGGCACACCAGGCCTTCAGTCAGCTCAAATCCGCCTTCTGTACAGCTCTGGCCCATTCACACCCAGACCCCAATCTCCGCTTCGTGGTCGAGGTGGACGCAGAAACCCTGGGAGTGGGTGCTGTCCTGTCACAATGGCGAGGTGAACCCCCCCGTACTCCATCCATGTGCGTATTTCTCACGGAAACTATCCCCGGCAGAGCAGAACTACGACGTTGGAAATCGGGAGTTGCTGGCCATCAAGCTTGCTCTGGAAGAGTGGCGGCATTGGTTGGAGGGTGCCAAGCATCCATTTGAGGTGATCACAGACCACAAGAACTTAGAATACCTCCGAGAGGCCAAATGTCTTAACCCCGCTGAAGCCCTCTTTCAGCACGTATTCCAGAACGTCGGTCTCCCCGAAGACATTGTTTCGGACAGAGGCCCTCAGTTCATCTCTAGGGTCTGGAGAGGGTTTTTCCGCCTCCTGGGAGCATCAGTCAGTTTGTCCTCTGGATACCACCCGCAGACCAACGGCCAGACCGAACAGAAGATCCAGGAGATCGGACGGTATCTCCGGGCCTACTGTCATGACCATCAGGACAGCTGGAGCCAGTACCTACCCTGGGCCGAGTATGCCCAGAATTCCCTGCGCCAGGAAACCACCGGACTTACCCCGTTTCAATGTGTGCTAGGTTACCAGCTGCCCCTGTTTCCTTGGACCGAGGAACACTCGGAAGTCCCAACGGTAGATCACTGGTTCTGTGAGAGCGAGAGAGTATGGGCGCATATCCATCTCCAGCTGCCCGTCCGGAGGCACAAGGCCAATGCAGACACTCGTCGGTCCGACAATCCCATCTATCAACCAGGGGACCAAGTCTGGTTATCCACCCGGGACATCCGCCTTCGGTGGCCCAGCAGGAAGCTGAGTCACCGGTACATAGGTCCTTTCCCCGTAGCAAGGCACATCAACGAAGTCACGTACCAATTACACCTGCCTGCCCATTACCGGATCTCACCCACCTTTCATGCGTCCTTGCTTAAACCCTTCACTAATCCTCTTCTCCCTCCCTCCACAGAACACGAGGTACCCCCCCCTCCGCCCGAGGGCGTCTCCAACGAGACCATCTACAGAGTCAAGGAGATCCTCGAATCCCGGCGGCGAGGCGGCCGGCTTCAATACCTCATAGACTGGGAGGAGTACGGTCCTGAGGAGAGATCATGGGCAGACAGAGAGGACATACTGGACCCATCCCTCTTCAACGACTTCCACCAGGCTCATCCTGACGTCCCGCTCCCAGGGGCCGCGGTCATCCTCGCCGTCGGTCTCAGGCGTCGGGAGATGCCTGTGGGGCGGGGGGTAATGTCACGGAAACACCTGCCTCACCAGCCGAATCAGCCTCCTACACCCGCTCACAATCACCTGATTACTAATCATGGACACCTGCACCCACTTACCGTACCAGTCAAATACACACTCACCTCAGTCACTCGTCGGCTGGTCTCAAGGTTACAAGCATCTCTGCACGGGTTCCTTGCCTCCCTATCTGACTGTCAAGCCTCGGATTCCTCAGTTCTCAGCCGAAGGACCAAAGTGCCGACCCCAGATAAGACTTTGTTCTCTGCTTCCATTAATTCCTAAGTTTGATACTTTTCTGTTGGAAGATGCCCTTCAGTTCCTTTTAATAACCTCCTCGACTTACGTTAACCTGTCTGTTTGCCTCTTTGTCCCGGATGTGACACATGTATTATGCTATAGTAATTTTGTCTGAAATTACTTTTGTCTCTATATATTCTATACAGATACATTACTAATTGAAATTAAAGTCATAGCCCACATTGTCACTTAAATGACAGCTAATTAAATTGTAGACATTTTGACTTGAAAAATGATAATCGATAGAATGTGATGGATAAAAAAAGTGAAAAGAGAGAGAAAATCTATATTTTTACCCATCCTCATGAATATTTTAAATGGTCTCAATTACTATTCTAGAACATCATCATAAGAATCTCTATCAGAAACATAATTTGGAGATACGCGTCTTAAATTATACATTTTTTTTTTCAACATATACATATATATATCAGTAAATGAACATACTTTCCAGAAGGCCAACAATTCACTAAAAATGTTTTTTTTTTATTGGTCTTATGAAGTATTCTAATTTGTTGAGATTGGTGGGTTTTTGTTAAATGTGAGCCAAAATCATCACAATTAAAAGAACCAAATACTTATTTAAATACACAAGTTTCACAATTTGAGTTGAATTACTGAAATAAATGAACTTTTCCATGACATTCTAATTTATTGAGATGCACCTGTAACTTCACATAGGCTATTATACATAACCTTAGTTGTGAATTTAAGTTATAACTACATTATCTGTGACATAAAATTATGGTTTCTGATGGTGATTTTGCTGCTTGATGCTGCTTACACAAAACACTGATGTTACTCAGCTTCATTATGAAATTTACTCACGACTGAATAAAGGAGGTATTCCAATGCTTGAATTGCTGTCATCACTGGCGTTAGAGAGATTGGGTTCATCGCTGTCACTTCTGGAGTCAGAAAATCTGCTATAGCGATGCATCTTTAAGAAAAAGTCATACAATCTCTTAATAAATTATCTCTCATATTTCAAATTTTAGGTCTGTGCACTGTACTCGGGAAAAAGATCCTGCTCCTGTGGGATAAAGGGCAATATCCAAGCTGACTAAAGTTGCCTAGTCAGGTGTGTATGCTGTTTAAAGAAATCATGTTTTTTTTTTCCAGTTATATTTGATGATTATATTCTATCATATACAAGTATTTCCATTTTGTATAAAGGAGACATCACGTGTCAAACAGATGGAGTGCAACAAAGAATGGCAGCCCAATAATTCTGACTAAAATGTTGAAGTTGTTTAATGTTTCATAATATAATGTAATGTTTTAGCCTTTTTGTACAAGTATAGCATACCCTACATTCATTTTCCTTCAGTTTATTTTTTTAATACATTCATTTCATTATTAATTAGTTATTCATTTTAATACAATTAATTAAATTATGAATATTTTAATTATCGAAATAATAGTTAGTTGCAGCCCTCCTGCATGTAAACCAGCAGTTGGGGCAAATAAACATGGCATAATTGAGACATTATGATGTTTACATACAGATGTTTCAGTGCCTTGGAAGTATTTATGACACCAGTTGCATAAATTCATTGATTGACTGTTGAACTGACACTTAATGAAATTCATTGTCCAAAATTTTTTTTTTCCAAATGTTCAAGTTTCACTTGACATTAGGGTTGTGCAGCAGAGCCATTATTGCATCTGTATCTGTAACGATCACAAAATTATTCATATCTGTATTCGGATAAAACCGGAAGTAGGCAAGGCTTAAACCGGAAGTTCGTACAGTTACTTGAGAAGACCATTATGTCTATGGTTTTACACCCTTTTTCGTAGTTATCACTGAACAAATATGCAGCGCTTAAATAAAATAATGTTTTTTTTATGATTATAACATTTATTTAAATATCTTCTAACAGTCAGAGCCGATACCCTTGTATAGGCAGTGCTTCGAGTGCTTCATGCGACACAAGTTCGAATCCCAGCTTGGGGACCTTTGTGATCTGATAAATAAATGTTTAAATATCAATTAATTAAAACTGTAAGGGTTCCTACACAGTTTGGAAATAAGGAAATTGATTTAAGTAATTTCCAGGAAATGCATGGAAAAAGGCAACTGCAACACTGCTATTTTATTTGTGCTCATTTCATTCCAGTTTACACTCATTTACTTCACACACTCGTTATTGCGTAGTAATTTTAAAGGTTTATGTACAATAACATGCTTTCCCTTGGATCACCGATTCCTGCACAGTTTGGAAAAGTATGGAATTTCACTTAAGTAATTTGTAGGTCTGGAAAAGTATGGGAAAAAAGAGAACAGAGTATAGAAAAATATTTTCTTACTATCTGCCATATTCAATCTTTTAAAATATAAAATTAATAATTTGTCAAAATAATTTTAGCATACAAGCAGAGGGATTTCATGACAATCATTTAGTGATCATTTGAACACAATTAATTCAAGGCGCACATTTTCATTACACAGAACTCATTTAAGTGAGTCTTTTTTTGAACTTCACTAAACAAATGTGCGTGTGCCATGCAAACCAGCAAAAAGATAAAGATGCAAACGTGTAGGCCTAGTAGAAAATGTATATGTATGTAAGTTGATTATTAGCCTACTCTTAACAGAGAGCAAGCACGTGCAGAGGGGAGGGAGGTGGGGGGTGAGTGCTTGAGCACCGGCCCCTTTTCCCCTTGATGCCCAAAGTGCACTTTTGTCGAGGCAATTTTTATTTTTTCTCATCCGAGACGATCCCTCATGTTCAGCCACCTTTAATAATTTAGCACGCTGCAGCCAGGATGCCTTCAATAACATCCGTGGCTGTCTGTAAGTGGAGTTCTCAGAGGAGCGGTGTGCTTGTTTACTTATATTATTAAATAATTATTATTTTACAAGAATGACGTGAAGAGAGCATGCACATCTGTTGTTTATATTGCTGTGTGTAACGTTAGCTGCAGCAAGGGGCTATAATATGTTTGTTAAATTTTTTTCTAATGACAATTTTATGATTGGTTTATAAAGGCTTCTACGAACACCTTTTCCCATTTTTAATCACAGAATAAGGCAGGACATATATTTTATAGTTTCTATACTAAATGATATGTCAATCAGTAGCCTACTGCATTATTTATATAGTTTATTTATTACCTGGAGATGACTTGAAAAACACACATAAACCACACATTTCCGCAATCGTGTGTTTATTGTCTTCACATTTCATCAGTAAAAACATTTTTGCTTTTTATTCAGCTCAGCTACAGCAATAGCCCGATGCTTTTGTCCATATTAGGGATTTTCTGCATGTCACAAGTTATTGAGTCTGTTTTGGACTTTCTGTGCGAGAGCGCCTTCTGGCTTTGAGTAGGAAGGAAACATACACTGCATGAGAGTGTTCAGCGCTCCCGATATTCACATCTACTCATTTTGGATACGAATAAAACGTCAGGTTATGCAAAGACTATCGCTTCTGTCTCTTTGAATTTAAATCTAGATTGAACCAATACAGCGTAACCAAGGAAACGCTGTATTGCTGCTGTTCCATAAGCGCCACCTGCTGTCAGAGAGTATATTTGCACTCTCATTTAGAGCTTCTGCTGTCTTTGTTTTGTGCAGATGTTTTATGTTGTATAGTTTCACAAAACTAAAGTCAGAGCATTCTGATTTTGTTTTAAAATTTCTAATTATACAATCTAATTTAGATTAAAAAAACTGCTCATGCTGCATGTATACAGCATATCTGCTTGGATTGTGATTCAAATGCAGTTGCCTCTTAAATGACAATTCACACCGCACAGACAAATGCCAACAAACAAGTTGGCTGTTGGATTTAGAATTTTATGAAAAATAACTGTCATGTTCACACTGCCCCAACAGACACCGACAAACTTCGATACCGGTGTAGACACATTGTAAGTCCGACTGGGGGAAAAAATGGATGATCGTTTAACCACAATTAAAATTGTACTGTTTTTAATGTCTTTGCATGTCATTCTTCGCCTGAAAAGACGGTGAATAAAATGAAAGAGGTCAAGGGTGAAGCTCACTTTAAGTGAAGTATGTGCATCGTCATGGCAACAGTTCATGGCCAGGACAGATTACGTCAGAGTTTGTTGTCGTTGTTTAGTCGGGTGAAAACGAACTTCGACTGGTGGCAACAAATGCTGACAAGGGTAACACACTGATCCAACAAACTCCGACAGACATTTGTCTGTGCTAGGGCTGGGACAATAAATCGATGCATCCCGATTCGTGGATCGATTCTGAGATTTTCGGAATGCATCGTTATTCTCTCTGGAATCAATTCTGAGCTTAGTTTTTAAAAAATGAAAGAGGTCATGGGTGAAGCTCACTTTAAGTGAAGTATGTGCATCGTCATGGCAACAGTTCATGGCCAGGTCAGATTACGTCAGAGTTTGTTGTCGTTTGTTGGAAAATCATATTACACTGCTCAGACATTCCACAACCCAACAAACGCCAATTGAGTTGTTTAGTCGGGTGAAAACGAACTTCGACTGGTGGCAACAAATGCTGACAAGGGTAACACACTGATCCAACAAACTCCGACAGACATTTGTCTGTGCTAGGGCTGGGACAATAAATCGATGCATCCCGATTCGTGGATCGATTCTGAGATTTTCGGAATGCATCGTTCCCTACTCTCGAATCGATTCTGAGCTTAGTTTTTAACAGCAGATGGCACTCTAGGCTAGTTTTTAACCACACACTCAAATGGTCACAAAAGAACGCTTGTGCATTCGGCTGAGTAATGTAAGTGTTTAAATGTACTTCCACATCGGCTTTTATGTTTTTATGATGCAAGATTAATGTAAACACAGCCCATTGTGAACATCCTTGTAATTCGCTTCAACCTTTTCAAACTTTATGAATGATTATTTTAGGTTAAAATGGTGCATGTGTAAGGAACTGGAAGCAAGCAGAACATGGCTATTTCTAAAGCATGCAGTGCCATTGGCTGTTAAAAACTAAGCTCAGAATCGATTCAAGAGAGAATCGCGATGCCTTCGGAAAATCTCAGAATCAATGCAGAATAATTTCTCGATTTGCGATGCATCGATTTATTGTCCCAGTCCTAATCTGTGCGTTGTGAATTGGCCTTAATTTTTAAAGGAAAGAGCACAGGTAACCTTTATACTAATATGAAGAGATTTTTTTATTTTTATTTGATTTAGATTTAAAATATCAATTTACTTTGGTTATTTGACATTTATCAATTTCACAAAGAAATGTGCAGTATTTTGTCCAAGCAATAATAAAAGGACATATTTTAATTTATAATTTGTCTTAAATCTAATTTTATTTATTTTTTAAATTGTATTGTGAAATCAGTGTCACATTGTGAGTTGAGTGAACCATTACAAGCCTAATTTACACAGATTTTAAACAACGCAATCTAAAAGAATTTGGGCTGCCATAATTCTTCCAAGAGCAGAAGAAGAAACGGAAGAAGAAGAAGAACGCCAATGGATACAATAGGTGCCTTCGCACCTTCGGTGCTTGGCCCCTAAATATAGCTGCAAGCAGCAATTAAGGGGCCAAGCACCACAGAAGCAAGCATCAGACTAGGGCTGCATGATAAATCGCATGTGATTGTCATGCGCATCTCGTCAGTAAAGCCGGTTCTGTGATTAGTAGTAAATCTCCATCACGTGCTTTCAGATGGAGCGGCATTTAATACACAGAGTCGTATTTCGCGGACAAGCTACGCAATATCGCGTTCATAATATAATGCGATTCATCTGCGATTATGAATGTGATAGCACATGATGGAGATTTACTACTAATCACAGGAGATTTACTACTAATCACAGAACCGGCTTTACTGACGAGATGCGTGTGACAATCGCAAGCAATTTATCGTGCAGCCCTACATCAGACCAACTGCAGCAATGAGTAATTAAAGCCATTTTAAGTTGATTTTAGTCAAAATGGCTGAAAAATCATAAGTACAACCACTAGTAATATGATTTAATGGCTTATCACTTTTGACCAATAGGGGATTTTTGTCAATTCAATGTGGTGTGTTCTGTGTGAGTTGACAATGGCACACAAAAAGTTTGGTGTCAATATGTCAAAGCTTTGCAGAGATATAGCCTCAGACGTAGTCTGGCATCATGCCTCAAATTTCTTTACGGTGCTATACAAAAACTGTTTTGTCTATTAACACGAAATCCATAACTTTTTGTCAGCACAGTCTGAAGATGATCTGACTCGATTTTGGTGAAAATCAGACAAACGGTCTAGGAGGAGTTAGAAAAAGTAAGTTTTCAACATTAATCAAAATGGCAGACAGGAGATTCGGCTGACTATGACAAAAGCTGATTTTATGTTCTTGGCATGACCCAAAGAATACATTGAGACCAGTTTCATTAAAATAGGCTAATTTAATCAAAAGTTATTAGTATTTTTGGAAATTTCATTATTAGTGGTTAATGAATGGTTTATCCATTTTGGCCAATAGGTGGCGCTGTGACCAAATTGATGTGGCATGGTCAGTGTGAGGAGACAATGGCACATACAAAGTTTGGTGTCAATATCTCAAAGCTTTGCAGAGATACAGCCTCAGATGCAGTTTGGCATTATTACAAAGGCAACATTCTGGCACCTTCAGAGCTTGGACACCTAATAAACATTGTAAATAAGTAAATAATTCATTTTTAATTCATTCAATTAAATGCTAATTAAACCAGACAAACCATTTTACTCTGCAAAATAAAGCTCATGAATATAAAATTTAACTCACCCGGAAATTATCCATGTTTCCACCTCACAGAAGACAATGACAACTCATCAGTTATCTGCTAAACACAAGACAGTAACATTTATTAATAGGCCTACGTGTTTGTTTTTTAATTTGTTTGTTCGTAAAACCCTTTTTGCATATTGTTTTATTTGCATACAAACCACGGAATATATCTAATTATCAGGGCGCACAAAAGGCTGCAAACGAACAGCGCGCATCTGAAGTGTCTCTGAAGGAAATAATGCATTATTTATCGGCTTTAAGATATCGGCCAAATTTTCTTATCAGGCCGATACCGATAACAGAAAAAATTAGCACTTATCGGCCGATACCGATATGGTGGCCGATATATCGTGCATCCCTAGATAAAATCAAATTAAAAGGATTGACTGCGGCATCAGATACTGCCTTAACCAGCCATTCCTATGCAGTTTTTAAGTTGTGCCAACTTATTCAGGTTTACTAAGTGTCTGTTAAATAAAGATAAATAGGTACATATCCCCCTCTCCAATAATTTAATCTTAAACACTGGCCAATCAAAAACTAGCAAGCATTTTCATTTAATTAACTTTATATTTAATATTTCACATTGAAATGTTTTGTATAAATTCGACATTTGTTTCAATAACAGATCTCAAATCGGGCAACATATTGGCTGAGTAACGCAATCAAACATCTCTGCGGAAACACATCAATAATATCTGGGGCAAAATCAAACTATTGACAAACACCAAAACAAGCAAAGTTTCAAATAAAACCAAAGTCTCGACTTTCTAATGATGTACTGTTATAGGGCCTCCTGCACTGTCTGTACTGTCTCACAATAATGTTTTCAAAACACTATATAAATGTAATAATTGCATGCATCTAATCAACAAACATAGCCTAAGTCAATTTCTTGCTACACCTCGGTTTATTTAGATTAAATTAGATTTAGATATTTTGAAATACCACATTAAAAACTCATACTACAACAATTTCTTTTAAATGTTCGCCCCAGTCTACTTTCAGTTTCGTTTGCGGTGCGTCACGTTCGTCAATACAACTCATTGCAAATTGTATTCTACATTAGTAACACACACAAACACCTTTACACCATTACAACCTTGTTGAAGTCCTGATTGAAGCTCTCGAGTATTTTGTGTCTTCATGAACGATGCGTAGAGAAGCTCTGAGCTTTACAGCAACACGAAAAACACTAATATAAACTGAACATATAGTGAACCAACCAGTCCAATTTAGTTTTAAATAATTTGAGTAACACAAACATAAGCAATGCTTAATGCGTTTAAAGTGACCCACATTTAAGTTAAAATCCACTTTCAGCGTTTTGCTCCTCTTTCTTCTTTCTCTTTCTTCTTTCTCTTTCTTCTGCGGTGGACATCCAAGTGTGACGTCAAAAACCACGCCCACATTCAAATACGTCACAGTCTCGTTCCTGTTGAAACAGGAAAAAGCATTGATAAGAAGATAAGTCGTATTGTTTGCCAACCGCTAAAAAAAGACGTTGTTGTTTTTAAGAATGTGTGCATGTGCAAAAACAACAGTTAGGCATGCTTAGTATGTGTTTTGAGTCATTCTTGAGACGTGGGACAAAGCAGGTCCAGCAAGGGTAACTGCTATTAGCTTTAAAAATACAAATATTTTATTTGTATTTTATTTTAAATGTCATGAGGGATTAATAATAGAATGTATTTAACACGATTATCACCTTCGATTTAATTTTCTCATTATTAAACCAAATCTGTGTTTCTTAATGTCCTCTCACTGCATCTAAAACAGTGTGTCCACAGAGAAGGGTTCAAGCATTCATATGCAATAAAACGGATAAAAAAATGTTTTTTAATGATGAAAAAGAGCTTGTTTTATCAAAAGCAACACTTAATAACATCTTCTATCAAAGCAAGGTTGTTGTTTTAATGACACATGCATGTTTCATAAGATTTTAAAGTTGAGTCCCCACTTTTTGTCAACGCCGTCAGACATTCAATAAAATGTAATAATATCAGGGAATATCAGGGGCAGCGGTCACTCTAAACGACCCCCTCGCCACAGTTCACCTCTGCAGAGTACATCAGTGTCACACAGCCTCTGCTAAGTTTTATAGTTTTAGAATATTTTAAATCCTAATGTTAATATTTCCCGTGTCACAGTCGTGATATGTCAACACCATCTTCCAATCTCTGAGGAAATTATTTGAAATATTTAAATAATTGTATTCTCCTGAAGCAGGTTCCATTAGCATCTAGCATCAACAGAAAAAAATAAATGGCTACTACATGAACTCCATTGGTTTTGTGAAAGAAATGCCTAATTTGTCAACACCGTCAGACGTCACCACCATAAGATCTTGTGTTCCAGTCATATATCACAATACTTCAATGTGACTCGTGAATAAATGCTTTATAAACAATAACATACTCACTGTTTGTTTTAATACAGTAATTGACTGATTCAATGTATTTGATAGTTAAAATGACTACAAATTCAGGTTTTCGTCACAACGGTCAGTTGAATATTTTGATAATATTTCACTATGATATTTTATATTTGTTGTGGAATTGTTGGTCACATGTGAAAGTGTAATCTGGCTGCTAACACCAGAATGTGTTTTGAAATGTTAAAAACATCTTGAATGCTGTTAAAGATAAAGCTGAAATTATATTACACAGTCCAAGGTAAAGAAGCTTTTTTTTAAAAAAACACATTTTGTTAAAAAAGAGAAAAGTTGGGAGGTTGTATCAAAGCATAGCTCAGTAGCTTAGTACATATAAGATGCATAAATGTAGTTTCATTTGTCTGAGTACAAGGTTTTATTTTTTTCAATTTTGCACCCTGTTTTGTCCCACTTCTCAAGAATGACACATATACAAATCTCCTTTAATTAAACAAGTTAAACTGAGATTCCACCTCCTGTTTCTCTTACTGGAATCTCACACCACCATCTTGGCTGCACTACACCTGAACCCACTGCACGTCCCATACGCTCGTATAACTGACTTTATAAAAGCAAGAGCATATAACCATACTACATTTAACTGAGTTACACACAAGTGCAAATTTACTCAAATAATACCGTTACTACAGTAAAGTTTACTGACAGTGTAAAAAAGATTAACATCTGTACTTCCCTTACCTAAAATAAGTAAACTTCAAGTTTATTGTATTAAGTATACTTAAGTAAAGTTCAAGTATACTTTATGTATTAAGTATACAAATATCAGTGTACTAGTAGTATTCTTGTAAGTGTACTATTTCAATACTCCTTGGGACTAAATTGGCACACTTTTTAGTATATAACAACATACTTTTAAGTATACTTTAAGTATAACAGTAGTAAATATTGAGTACACAACTAGTTTACATACATGTTTTTAGTTTGTACTGCAACTATACTAAAAGTGAACTTATAAGTATACTAATAGTTTACTAATTAAATACGTGTAGCATTTTTAGTACACTTTGACGTATAATCTCAATAAACTACTAATTTAGTAGTTTTATACTGCAAGTATACTCATAAGTTTTCTTTAAGTGAACTTTACATAATATTTTAAGTATACTACTATGTCCCTATTTAGGTATTGATTTGTATATATGTGTTTTTTTTTTTTTATATGAATATCTGAACATACAAAATATCAAAAGAAAGAACAGGGTATCTGCTTGTAAACAAAAACATTTTATTCTAGCGTCATGCATTCTCTTTTATAAAAACACTTGAATGTGGGTAAGTTTCATAAAAAATAAAAAAAAATCAATATTTTGAAAGTCTATGAATTGGATTCAGAGTGATAATCAAAACGTAGATGGAGTTGATCAACACCCCAGAGCTCTTCATGGGTCAACATTGTATTCCATAAGGTGTTACACAGTTTTAAATGCTGTTTTATGTCTGATGATCAGAGATGAGTCTGGCTGCAGACCGTGGGCAAACAGGAAATAGCCTACGTCACTTCCACTCAGTGTTGCCAAGTCCACGGTATTCCCTTGGAATTGGGCTACTTTAAAATCTGTTGCCGTGGGTTGTTTTTCATGTCCAAGGGTTGAAGAGAACCCAATAGACAGTGAATATGGGTCTAGGCTAAAACAAGGCTGAATTTGGGCTGTCAGTGAAAATTTAATAGATGTCTAACCATAGCCCAAGAATAGACCAGTCATCAAATAGACAGCTAATGAATGCCTACATATATACATCTAATAGTCAACAATATGGCATTTCATCCAAACAAATTAAATATACAGCTTTTATTAAGAAAAATAACATTTTTAACAACTTGGACAACTTAAGACAATACAAAATGATAAAAATACACAAGAATTGATGAAAAAATAAAATAGAAATACAACACACTTAAATATAAATATTATGATAACATTTTTTGGAATTTTTAACAACTTAAAGGGGTCCTATTATGCTCTTTTACAAAGTCTTGATTTTGTTTTGGGGGGTGTACTAGAACATGCTCTCATGTTTGGTGGTTCGAAAAACGCATTATTTTTCACATAATTTACATTATTAAAATACCTTTCTCTCCCGGCTGGCACAAATGGCTCGATTAGTTCTGGCTTTGATGAAGGTCTGCCTTCCGAAAAACAAAATGTGTTGTGATTGGTTAGCTGTCCCAGTGCGTTACGATTGGCAAACAGCTTAGACAGTGTTTCAGTACTGCCACGCCCCTTGCTCCGTCTTTCAACAAAAGCTTTTTGGCGAATCCGGCACTGTACTCCCTTGTGTTGTGGAAGCTGTCCTCAGTAAAATGTGCAGCACACAATAGCAAATTGGGGTTATAAAAAGATGAACCTTTTGGTTGGTTTACTTATTTTAACAAACAAAACAACCAACAGTGAACTTAAAGGAAATTATTAATTATTGCTTTTATTTCTTGTTTAAAATGCTTCCCAACTGCATTCCTCAAGTCCAACTCTGTTGCTGCCGGGAAGTTGGTTATCACAGCATTTGCCAAAAAGAAAAAAAAAAGACATATTTTTTTAGTTTAATTACACTAATTGTGACAGGGAGTCATTCTCTTTTGCTTGGATGCCTACTAAAAACAAAAACTATATATGTATGTGTGTATGTATATATATATATACAGTGGGTACGGAAAGTATTCAGACCTCCTTAAATTTTTCACTCTTTGTTATATTGCAGCCATTTGCTAAAATCATTTAAGTTAATTTTTTCCCTCATTAATGTACACACAAGCACCCCACATTGACAGAAAAACACAGAATTGTTGACATTTTTGCAGATTTATTAAAAAAGAAAAACTGAAATATCACATGGTCCTAAGTATTCAGACCCTTTGCTGTGACTCTCATATATTTAACTCAGGTGCTGTCCATTTCTTCTGATCATCCTTGAGATGGTTCTACACCTTCATTTGAGTCCAGCTGTGTTTGATTATACTGATTGGACTTGATTAGGAAAGCCACACACCTGTCTATATAAGACCTTACAGCTCACAGTGCATGTCAGAGCAAATGAGAATCATGAGGTCAAAGGAACTGCCTGAAGAGCTCAGAGACAGAATTGTGGCAAGGCACAGATCTGGCCAAGGTTACAAAAAAAAATTCTACTGCACTTAAGGTTCC